AAATGGTTTTTTTTTTTTTTTTTAGTAAGCTAATACATTCTACTAGTCACAGGATGTTAATTCAGAAAGAGAGGTGAGCAAGGAGTGGCTATTAGGAGGACTGAAGATGGCCCATGATAATTTGTGAATAAGCTCTGGATCTGCAACTTTCCAAACTCTCCAGTCACTGAAGTGCGAATCAGTTGGTTGGGTTTGCAGAAAATGCAGTTTAATATGCAGGATTTCTCTGAGAACTGTCCTTCATGATTCCCCTTGTTGATCAAGCATTACGTTTTGTGCATGCAGGGCCCACATATTATTTATTCTCACATTTCTAGGAAGGCTCAGAATCTGATATAAATGAGGCTCGGCAGCAGACAGAAAGAGCAGTCTTTAGGGGAGCAGAATAGCTGATGAAGCCAATAAGGAAGAAACACCTGGATCATATCCAAACTATCAGCTATCATGATCTGGATCCGTTTTTTTTTCTTTTGTCTGCTATCTGACATAATATTTGCATGTGAAATATTATAGGATTATTATATTTAAATAATCAAAAACATTGCTTGACCTAATGAAGTAAATGTAATAGATTATGGAAATAAACTTTTTTTAAAAAAATGAGAAACTATGTTCCCCCCATATTTATAGTTATTTGTGTTCTGTGAACCATTTTATTTATATTTTGAGTATTTAAATGAATCTATTAGTCTTATCTCTAAAAACTGGATTAACCAGATAATGTATAAATACCTCCTCAGATCTTTTTCTGATAACATGATAAAGAGTACTTCATGTCTGATGAAGCACAATTGTTCAAAGAAGTATGTAGAAGGGGATCGTCAAACACTCTAGAAACATTTTTAAATATTTCCAAGGCTATGTCTCCATGATTACAATTCTCAGACTGTAGCAAGATAAAGCAGCATATTTTATTTATATTTTCTTTTCTCCTCACTCTACTCTTCCTGCCAGATTCGTTGTAGTATCTCATTTTAATGCACCCCCCAATTCATTTTTTGGTCCACAACTCAGGAACCAAACCATACTTATTAATTCAAATACAAATGATAACATTTTGTAAATAACTGTATGTATATAACAAAAGTATAAGTAAATTGAATTTTTCTAAGGTTATGTAAGTATATGCAATGGTCAGGTTATATATTTTCTTAAGCCACAAATTTCTATCACATTTTAAATGTATAACTGAGTATTTATATAGAGTATGTACTGTGTATAGACTCTGTGGACTCAAAGAAAGCAAAAAGAGCAAAATATATCACCAAATATTCTATCCACTCTCAGAGATAACTTATCTCTTCACAAAGTGGGCTTTATTCCAGTTTTTTTCTTTCCCAATGTGAATCATTTAAAAAGATAAAAGTGGGACCATATTGTGTGTACAATTCTCTAACTTGATTTTTAAACATTGAGTTTTATCTTAAAATATTCAGCAAATAAATTTTAACCTGTGACCCACAGGCTGCATGTGACCAAGGATTGCTATGAAAGTGATCTGTCATAAACCTGTAAACTCATTTAAAACATTCTGAAGCTTTTTTTGTGTGTGTTTTTTTAATTCATTTGCATGATTCTCAAATGTGAACATTCTAGATAAGAGTGTTGCAAATTTGAAAGACTGACACACCTGTTAGAATAGGCATTAACTATTATAGGTAGGCAGTAAGTTATAGCCATTATTCCTCAGTATTAGATATTTAATACGATGACCACTACATTTTGAAGACTCAAAGTTGCTATTTTAACTTGTGATTATTTAGACCTGCTGGTAATCAGGAACACTAGATTACTTTGTGGGAATTTGAGACTCCGACTCCAGATGTCTATCTAATGAGCACTCTACTCTTTGGCTGACGTTAATGGAACATTACTAAAAGCTTGTTGAGATTCACGTGTATGGAAAGACCCATGAGTACTGCAGCATCCTTCTGTTCATGCTTCTCTTACAGGGCCTCCTGCCAGTGTCCTGCCCTTTTCCCTCTGTTACCTGTGCCCTAAATTATCTTGGTCGTCTTACTGTTCTGTTGCCTCTCAAGGCTGAGAGTCTGTGAGGAGGTACGACTTCTCTTCATAGACCGCTGACATGACCCCTTCCCTACCAGCAGATTTGCTGATGAGGTGGCTGTGGTGCCTTGCATGTGGTCCTGGTCTGTTTCAGCAAAGGTACTCCCACACTTCACAACTCAGAATGAGTATTCCTTGGTCATAGAACAAGAGGCTTAAAATCTCTGAGGTCTCTCACAGTGTGTGTCTCACTTCTTTTTCTGAGATCAGCTAAATGGCCTATGATTTGGAAGGCAGCACTATTGCTTTCTCCAAATGAAGGTAGCCCATCCTAGTCCTGCTGCTGGTTAAGCCTGCAAAATACTGGGATGGCTGTTCTTCACTTTTGTGTATCTGTGTTGTCCAGACTTGGCAGTACTGCATTCTTCCATGAACCTGTTACACTCTGGCCACTGTCTGCATACACTGACATAGTCTTCTGTAGAGCAATTGACTTGCCCAAAAGTGTGCTGGTCTCAGTTCAAGAGGAGATGATGGATGGTTGTTTTTAAATCTTCATTTCTAGTCCATGTACTTATGTTAACTTGTTTAATATGCTTTTATAATTATAGGTGTATAACAGATTTCCTGTTTTTTTTTTAAAAAGTCTCTGAAAATTCAGCAGGTTGTTTTTTAGCTATTTATTCCTTGTAAAGTCTTGTTTTATTCATTATTATGCTTTAGTTTTAAAAATACGTAAACTACGATTTTAAATCTTAAAGGGACATTCCTTAGAATTGGTAACCACATATTTTTCTGTAATACTTATGGGAGACACTGGCAATACAATTTCTTATCCTAAGAAAATGAGTCTGATACAAAACATTTTAAAATGTGGCTGAGATAAAGCGTTAACTCTTTGGGTTCTCGTCTTTCCTTGCTTTCAGGGTGCAGGCTGCACAGCCCTGGTGGTAGCTGTAGTGGCAAGAAAGCTAGAACTTACCAAAGCAGAAAAGCATGTGCACAATTTCATGATGGATACTCAGCTGACCAAAAGAGTAAGTCGCCACCCCATCATCCTCCTAGAGAGTATCACTGTTTATTATTTCAATGTTGGGAAATAGGATTGTTCACTATGACGTCAGAAGCAAAGACACCATTGATTGAGGATGGAGACATGCATGGAATCGCTTCTCACATTTTGAGACTAGAGCCTACCTAACTTCAGGTCAATTAGGAAAGAATTGCATAAACTTGATATTGAGATAAAAGCAGATCATATAAATCTAAACAAATAGGTCTGCTTAATTAACATTTAGGCACAGTATCTAGTATTAGATTTGGCAGAAAAGAGCACACTGTTCATGGAAAATAGGAATTTTATGGGGGAAGTTTTGGGAAGAAATTTACTGTGCTTCTGTGAGCAAGTCCATGTTCTAAAGACAGGTCACAAACACATTGAAATAGCCTATAATTTTTAGAAACAAAAGATAGGTACAGTGACAGGCCCTTTGTATGACTTGAAGGTCATCACAGATACGTTGAAAATGGCTTAGTATCTGGATGGAAGTTCATTATCCAATTATTAGGAGTAGATAAAACATTACTCAGTGTTGACAGAACACCCACCCAGCTAGGTCCAGATGGGACATCTATGAACCTACTTCATCCTCACCAACCTCATGAGGGAAGCCCTGTTCTGGCTATTTCATACAGTGTAGAAACCAAGACACAAAAAGGTGAAATAGTCTGCTCACCATCATTACATCACAGTAGAAAGCCTGGAGAGAGGGAAAATGTTTTCATGAGATGACTCTTTTAGCTTTTTTGATCATCATTTGAAACATCAAAATACCAAATTCAAAAATACTTCAAAATTGTCATATAGCAGTCTTCACTCCCAAAGTAGAATTCCATCAGGCTGCCATTGAATAATTAAATGCATTGTCATTTGGTAACTTTGCACAAAAGAATCAATAGAGTATTCAGGCTGATTTCCAACTTTCAGTGTTTTCCTTATTCTTGATTTAGCTTCCAGGCATAAAAGTGGATCTTCTTTAAGTTGGTGTAATACACACACATGCAATCCCAGAAGGTTTAAGACTAGATCAATTGAGGCCAGCCTGGCCAACAAAGTAGGACCCTTTTTCAAAAATTAATAGGTAATCTTAATAAATATTTCCAGTAGTGCTATCATCTTACTGCTCATACATATTTATACAGATTGTGTTTATGACAGGGAAACATAAATTCCAGCAACTTTGCTTGTGCTTCTGACTCTGATGCAGCCCTCTCCACACATTTCTATCAGAGATCAAACCCCTCAATTGCAGATGCTATAATATTTACCTGAATTTGCCTTTCTAAGTGTCTTTTTTATTATGATTTTAATTTATTATTGGTGATGCATGTACCACAGCATGCGTGTAGAGGTCAGAGGACAACTCTGTGGAGTCACATTTCACCTTCCACCTTTATGTGGGTCCCAGAGATAGATCTCAGGTTGCCAGGCTTACACACCTTGATCTTCTGAGCCGTCTATCCACCCCTCCACCCCCAAATGTCTTTCATTCCCAGTGTCCTCTTATTTTCTTGCAACCCTCGTTTCCATTCTCAAAACCCATTAATGTTTCTGAAGGGAAGACTGGAGAAAGACGGTAAATGAGGAGCTGAACAGGGGCAAAATTACATTTATTTTCAGAAATCTAAGAAATGAAAATACATTTTCCTGAGATTATTAGTTCATTTGCAATCCAAAAGTTGTTACATGTTTTATGCATTTCACTGTATGTTTGGTCAATAAAATTCTGTCCTGTAGAGCTTTTGTTAAGAGTTACAAGTTTTGCCATATCAGAAGAATATTTCTATAAAGTCATGTATAATCCATTTAATTGTGAAGATTATACTTTTTCAGGGATTATATCAATGCCACAGTAGTGATAATGATGCAGAGGGAGTGAGATTTCTTGTCATAAGCCTTTCCTCTAAAATGTACTGTTCACAGTTCAAAACACAGTCAACAAATGCTTTGATAATCTTATCTCACTACCGTTCCCTGACAGTGGAACTCCTTTGTAGCATTTTTGCAAGATTGTAAAAAGCTGACCTGCTGACTGATGCATTTTTATAGACAGGATGTTGCCAGATAAAAGTATAAATGTTAAAATACCACTACTATAAAATGTAAATTTCTAGTTTATGGTAACTGTTTCATTATAATACTAATATATGAAAATAATAGCCTTCTTATAGTCCTTTATTCATTATTTTATACAAAGTCCTCAACTCAAAGATTATCATTTACCTGGAACTTGATTCAATTTGGTTATTTCTATAATTGCTAAGTGGAATAATTTCTAATTTTAACTTTCAAAAAAATTCCAAAATACTCAATAATTTCTGAGGAAAACTCAAGTAAATAAGAACCTAAAAGCAATATATAGTTACTAAGATGAGCGATTAAAAATACAAATTCAAGAGCACTATATATTGTTGAAAGAAATATAGGTATTCTCAATCAGATTCCACCAAGAGATAATTTTTCCAGTGGTCACAGCATCTGAATATGACTCAGAGAAAAACAATTTAAATATTGAAAGAATTTATTATCCCAGGAACACATATAACTTTTCAAGCTTTCCAATGTGAGTCTTACTGAGGCAAACACTTTCTATGAGAAATTATTCACCATGAAAATTTTTCAAGGAAACAATTTTTTATTGATTGATTTCATGTGTGTGTGTGTGTGTGTGTGTGTGTGTGTGTGTGTGTGTGTTATTGCAATCTGAGCTCAAATTCATCTTTATACCCACATCCCAAATGGCACCCTCCCATGCCCTGCCTCACTGGAGCCCATACATATACTCTGTCATCCCTGTTACTGCCCACTGTGTTGTCAGTGTCCCCAGCTGTTCCCCAGTGCAAGTCCATCTGCTGAGTCTAGTCAGCCTTTCTAGAGTCCCTTGTTTTAGGAAGATCAGCTCTTCTTCATCTAGCAACAATCAGTTGCTACTATTCCTTTAGAAAAGATTGGTGTCTGCTGTTCATTTTCCCAGTTCTGTGCTGGGTTACTTTCTGGAAGTCTCTTGGGCCACCCTGGCCAACAACTCAATGGAAGGTGTCTCCTGTCTGGCACTGTTTCTTGCTATATAGCCTTTAACTATACACATGGGCTCTTAAAGAATTTTATTAATCCTTTTAATCTTTGGTTATACTTTCCTTTTGGGTGTTTAAGACCATGCAGTTGGCCCAGATAAACGAATTTGTTTTTACTTTTAAGGTCATTTGAGGATCTGTTCCTCAGGGGTCACGTGGGCTTGGGGGGAGCCCCTGGCTCCTTTCTTTTACTAGTTCAATCTATGTGAAGATAGATCAAAGGTCCTGCTTGACTGTGGCTGGCTTCACTTGGAAGCATGGAGGAAACGTTTCCTCTGTGTTGACCCTCTGCTTTGTAGACTGGAAACTGGTTCAAGTCCATCTGGTGGGGTCTCCATGGAATCCCTGAACAAGAAGACAGGTGACCCACTACATTTAAAGGATATATTGAGAGAGTCTCCATAGTCCACTGGAATTTAGTTGACCTTTGAGGGCAAGGAGCAAAAACTGTCCTTCATATCCCTCTGACCAGATTACTATAAGCCTTAAAGTATGGCTGTTAAACATCCAAGGAGGATAGTTCCACCAGTCTGGTACTTTTAATTACCATGTGCTATGTAGATAAAGCTTGGGCAAAAACCAAACGTTCTCAGATAAACCTTGATGAGACATATATTTAGTTCCTTGAACTAGTTGTATGTATAATTTGTCAGTAGGTTGTTGGACTAATATGGTTCCCTCTGTTTTTTTCAAGCTACCTAGGCATTATTTATCTCTCTCACTGTCTAACCCTTCCACCATGGTTTCCCCATTTAAATTGCCCCCATTTTCCCCATCTCTCCCTTGAGAATACCCTTCTCCTATGGTCCCACCTCTCTTGAGCTCCTTCTTTCCCTTTATCCCCAAGTTTCCTTGTATAACCCTCCCTCCCCCCTCCCATTTAAATAACCCCGTTTTTATCCATATCTCCCTTAGTAACACCTGTTTCCTACTGTTTTTCTCTCTCTTGGGTTCTTTCTTTTCCTTCACCTCCCTGATTCCTTTTCATTATACTGGTTCCTGTAGTTATGTCTAGATACATATTTACTTAGAAGGATTTGGTGCTAGGATCCACATATGAGGGAGAACATACGTCATTTGTTTTTCTAAGTCTGTGTTATTTCATTTAGTGTAACAGTTTCTAGTTCCATCCATTTACTAGAAAATTTCATGATTCCATCTTTCTTTACTGCTGAGTAGAACTCCATCATAAAAATGTATCACATTTTCATTATCCACTTGTCAATTCAGGGACACTTAGGTTGCTTCTGTCTTTTAGCTATTGTGAAAAGGGCAGCAACAAACATGGATGTACAAGTGTCTCTGCAATAGGATGAGTTCTTTGGGTATATGCCAAGGAGTGGTATAACCAGGTCAAATGGTAGGTTCATTTTTAGTTTCTTAAGGGTTCTCCACACTCCTTTCCATAGGGGTTGAACAAGTTTGCAGCCCCACCAGCAGTGAATGAGTGTTCCCCTTTCCCCACATCCTCTTGAACATTTGGTATCACTTGTCCACTTGATCTTAGCCAGTCTGACTAGGGTAAGATGAATTCTTAAAGTAGTTTTAATTTGCATTTCCCTAATTTCTAATGATGTTGAACACCTTTTAAGATGCTTCTTGGGTATTTTTATTTCTTCTTTTGAGAACTCTGTGTTCAGTTCCTTAGCCCTTCTTTTAATTGGGTTACTTCCTTTCTTGATTCTTTGTTTTTTGAGTTCTTTATATATTCTGGATGTTAAACCTCTGTCAGATGTGTCACTGGTGAGGAGATCATCAGCTTAAACAAACCCATAACACATAAGGAAATAAAAACAGTAATACAAAACCTCCCGTCTAAAAAAAGCCCAGTACCAGATGGATTTATGGCAAAATTCTAACAGACATTTAAAGAAGATTTATATCCAATACTACTTAATTTATT